TCTTTACTCTTGATTCTTTTGTAAGGGGTGAATTATGGGTTCATTTTCATTTCTCTTCATGTGAATATTTAGTTTGTTCAACATTATTTGTTGAAATTACTCCCCCTGGCCAATTGCTTGTCCCTAATGGCTTTCTCCAAAATTGACAGGTGTGTAGGTTTACTTAGGGTATATTAGTGTTTTGGCTGATGACTATTTGTTGTCAATACTACATGTATCTTTTATCTTCTGAAATCCAGTATTTAGATGCTTTCAGCTCTGTTCATTTTGCTCAAGTTAATTCTAGCTACTTAGGGTCTTTGGTGCTTCCATATGAATTTCAAGTTTGTCTTCCTTCCTATCTTGTGAAGAACAACTTTGGGATTTTGGCAGGTATTGGACTGAATCAACAGATTGTTTGGGATAGGATAAGCATTTGCACAAGATTAATTATTCTAATGTAGGAGCATAACACGTCTTTCCAAGTATTTATGTCATCTTCAATTCTATCATCAATGTTTTAACAATTTTCAGTATAGATAGGACTGTTATACCTCTTTGGTTAAAAGGATTTATAAATATTTAATTTTTTGTTATCATTGTAAATGGGATTGTCTTAATCTTTTCAGATAATTCACAGTATATAGAAATGCTACTGCTTTTTTTCTTTTTGTATTGTGCTAACTTTACTAAATTCTTTTATCTCCTATTAAGATTCTGCTTCTTCCTTTACAATTCAGATGCCTGCTCCTTTTCTGTCCTTCCTTCCCTCTCTTCTTCTCTCCCCTCTATTCTTTGCTTTTGTTTAGTACTCTGATTAGGATTTCCAGGACTAACTGAGCAGAAGTACTAAGAGTGAGTATATTTGTCTAGTTCATGATCTTAAGTAAAAAGTCTTCCACTAAGCCAGGTGTTGGTGGCTCACGCCTGTAATCCTAGTTACTCAGGAGGCTAAGATCTGAGGATCACAGTTCAAAGCCAGCCCAGGCAGGAAAGTCCATGGCATTCTTATCGCCAATTAACCACCAGAAAACTTTCTAGAAATGGTGCTGTGCCTCGTTGGTAAAGAGCTAACCTTGAGCTGAAGAGCTCAGGGACAGTGTCCAGGCACAGAGTTCAGCTCCTTGACTGACAAAACAAAAAAAAGTCTTCTACTATTCACTATTAAGTATGTTAACTATGGGATTGTCATGTATGGCTTTTATTTTGTTGAAGAACAAATCCTATTCATCTAACTGGATGAGTTTTTAATCACAAAAAAAAGTTAAATTTTGGTCAAAGTTTTATCTACATCTACCAAGATAACTATATGAGTTTTGCCTATTACACTATTTAAAAAATATATCAAAGATAGAATGGACAGGGGGTTCAGCAATATTCTGCATAAAAGAGAACATCAGATAACTAATTTCCTACTATTTTGAAAAACAAATGACCACATTTATTTTCAAATAATAGTCTAAGCTGATCAAATAATAGTCTAAGAATTTTTCCATTTTAGGCTCACGCCTATAATTCTAGCTCCTGAAGAGGCTAAGATCTGAGGAGTGTAGTCTGAAGCCAACTTGGGGAGGAAAGTCTGTGAGACTCCTATCTCCAAGTAACCACAAGAAAACCAGAAGTAGCAATGTGGCTCAAAGTAGTACAGAAAAAAGCTCAGGGACAGCGCTGAGGCCCTAAGTTCAAGCCCCATGACAGACAAAAAAATAAATAAGAAATGTTCAGTTTTATAACTGCAACACCTAATAAACATAACTATTTTACAAATAAGAAATTAGTGATGTGGGAATTATTTCAGAGGCGAGTTAAAAGGAAGCTGGGTGCTCTCACCTGAACCCAGCTTGGAAGATCATGGTTTGAAACCAGCTTGGGTATAAAAGACCAAAATAACAAAAACTATGGCCAGAGACCCAGTTCAAGACTGTCACTGGGCAAGAAAGGCATGGGATCTGAGTTTGAAACCCCGGGTCTGCCAAAAAAGAAAAAAAAAAGAGGGAGAGGGAGACTCCTAACTAGACAGTAATCATTTATATATATAGACTTAAATTGTCCTCTTCTTTAGCCATTCATCCTGCTTATGTAACCCTAAAACAATATTTAACTTCCACTAATTGTTATGTTTATGGTTCATACCTTCTGCTATGTTAAGTCCATCCCTACTTCAATGAACTGAAAGCAAAGTATGTGTCCTTGAATTTTCTAGTGGGAGCTAATATAAAATAAATTCACTTTATTTACCTTAATACACAATACAACCTACTTTTATAGCAAACAAACCTAAAACGAATGCTATAGTTCTTTAGTCCCTGTATTGTTCTTTTAATACTATTCTATACATTTAATGTAATGTTGCCAAATCAGTAACAAAGCAGCAAAAAACGAAAATAAAAAATAAAAAACAAACAACCAACCAAACACCCTTTAGTTTGAATATGCCATTTGCTAGAACCTTAAAAAAAACACCTAATAAACTTACATTTTGCAGTGCTAGAGATCAAACACTGGCCTTCATGCTTCTAGAACTTGTTAATTTTACTCCAAACAAGCTGAAGTATTAAACCAATCACAATTGAAAGTTATAGTTCATGTAATATTTGACTTCTCATTTTCTGAAAAGTCAGATTAAAAACTACCAGCTAAACAGAGCCACTAGCCTATAATTCCAGCTACTCAGGAAGCTAAGATACAAGGAATGTGGTTCGAAGGCAGCCTGAATAGGAAAGTCTGTAAGACTTGTTATTTCTAATAAACTACTAAGTAGCTGGAAATGGACTTCTGACTCAAGTGGTATAGCACTAGAGCAAAAGAACCACACCTATACCTAGCACAAATAAAAAAAGCCAGTAAGGTTTATGGCCCATTCTAAAACTTTTATTTTTAGTTCTGTTGCCTCATGAAAAAGCATGCTTTACTACTAGTTACAAGAAATAAGATTTTGGTTTCCTGGGTTTTGAAATTTTTATATAAAATATTTACAAACTAAATGTCTTCTATGTTCCAGATTTGGTAATAAGCCTAGAAAATAGATGGATGAAAACACATCTCTGCCCTCAAGGAGCACACAGTTTATTTCATGAGTGATATAAACATATATAGAAACATACATGGAAATTGCAATACAACAATGAATAAATAGCACAGAGAAAATAAGCACAAAATGTGAGGGAAAGTGTTGTATGCAAATTGACTTTTGAGAAAGGTCAAGAATTTGACAGTAAGACTGGTGGTCCATTTTAAAAAGTTTTCTATTTGTTTGTATAAATTATAGGCCAGACAAATGGAATCTAAAGTTGCAGAAGGCAGACCAGTGGTTTTTTTAGGTCCAGAAATAGGATTTCAGGATTAGAGATTGACTGGGAAGGCATACAAGGGAAGCACTGAAATGATAAAAACAATTCAGTATAGATTATAATGATGATTCGCTGGATATACTTTGATTTGTTAAAAATCTTCAAATTGCATCCTTAAAAATCCTTTTAAATATATTATTAATTTATACTTCAATTCATTTTAAGAAGGGCCTAGAGAAATCAAAGGGCTACTTTCTGTGTTGCTAAAACCCTTTCATATTCCAGTGACTCACAAGGTAGTAACCAGTATTCTGTGAGGAAGAAAATGTTTTCTCTAAATAAACACAGTTTATTAAAGTTCCAGCACTACTTATTTTAGACTTGTCCTAGATGTAATGAGCAAAAAATGTAGAGTTTGGCAGAGTTCCAAACACAATAGACTATTTCTGCATTTATATATTACTACTAAAGTCAGTATTTCATAATTTATGCTTCCACTTCTAATATATTATTAAATTTTTGTGTAAAACTAAGTAAGAAGTTGAAGAGTTTTTCTTAAAGAACTTGATGATTCTGAGCAAATTAGATTACATTTTGAGATTATTTCAGTTCCAAATAAGGTTAGCTTCCTAAACTTCTTTCATTTTAAAGATTATTCTTACATGATTGAAACCTAAATACAGAATCACTAAATAAAAGCCCTAGTCTCAGATGTAGAATGTGCAGTATGAAAACAAATTGCAATGAATATCAAATGTGTTTGCTGTAACTTTAGATACTTTAGTTTTAGTTCTATCTACTTTCTTACTAGCTAAACATATTTTCATATAAAATTTTACGGTACTATTTTACTCTATACATACAACTCTTATGCTTTTGTAAATGAATTAAGGGTTATAGAGTTTAAGTAACTATTTTACTCAAAACATCATTTTCCCAAGGATGAAACTAATTATACTCATATATTATATATTTTTTGTATTGAAAATATAGAAAGAATCCAGATATGGTACAAATGGGTATTTCTTTTTTTGGAGGGGATGGAGGAAGTTCAGACAATAAAAGGTAACATTAATGTTAGGAAAAGTTTCTATGGAAGTTTTCCTATTTTTTTGTACTATGGAACAATTTCCAACATAAATATCTGCTGATTCACTGTTTAAAAATAATGCTCTTAGGATGGAATTATGGATTGTATTTCTCTTTTATTTTCTATGCTCACAGAAAAAAAATGTTTAGTTTTTTACATTGCTTTTCTAATTAAACAATGTCTGAAGCTAGTGTTAATTCAAGTTGCACAGAACAAAAAGCACTAATGTCTTAAGTGTGATTACTTATTTCTGCAGAGTATGAAAAATATCCCTTCCTCATAGCATGCATTTTTAACTTTAAAAAGTCATTGGCAAACTCATGCTGCTGATCACAAGAATGATTCAGGTAAAAGCATGCAGCTGACTCAATACAAAACATTAATACTAGGGGGAAAAAATCCCTCTAAGAAATGTCCTACTGGCTGAGGATAAAAGAATCTATCAGCAATACCCATCTCTTAAGTAAACTTCAATTTTCATAGCTACCAACTGTTGCCTTTCCAAAGAGAAACATCTTAACCATGGAGAAAATAGTCTCTGTACTTTTAGAAAAGTTGAAAAGTGTTTATGTCACAAAACAGGTAATTTTCTATACAACTTTTGCTACTATACTACATAAATACCAAATAAAGTAAAGTACCTGTGACATCTTCTGGATCTGATACAACAATATGTGCATTTAATTCTTGTAGCTTGTGATGTAGTTCTTCTAATTTTTTATTTGATTTTTTCAAAATGTTGTCTACATAAGCCAAATTTTTTTTATCTGTTGTGACTTTTCTCAGATTTTCTGCTCCTTCTTTAATTTTCAGTTCTTTCCTTATTTCCCTCTTGATTCGATCCTTGATATCATCCAATTTCTGTTGCACCATTGTATCTGAGAAGTCCAATTTTTGAACAGCACTCACATTCTCAGAAAATGGAAGACTTCTGGAATCTCCCTACAAAAAAACAAACAATAAAACTAAATTAATAAGCAAACAAACAATGAAGTGAAGGCAATGTAGTTGCTCAGTAAAATATGTAGCATTAAAGATGGTGTTCCTGGCATAAAGATTTGCATTACATTAATTTTCTAAAAAGCAAAGAAAATGAAACAATGCATCTACACAGAGACCTCTTAATTCCCACATTATGAACCTCAGGCAAATTACCTTTTTAAGTTTCTGTTTGATGATCTATAAAATGTAAATAATAATATTAGTTCCTTACAGATAATAATTCAAGATACTATGGATAAGATATAAATCTTGATCTACTATAGTTACTTAATGAAAAGACCAGTAAACTCTACAGTAAACTCTATATAGAAAATGTCTTAAAAAGAAAACTAATATTGGCAAAGTAAAATAAAATTATAACCTTGAGCTAGGAATGTGGCTTAGAAGCAGAGTGGTTGCCTCGCATGCATGAAGCCCTGGGTTTGATTCCTCAGTACCACAGTCAGAGAATAAGCTAGAAGTGGCGCTGTGGCAGAAGTGTAGAGTGCTAGCCTTGAGCAATTAAGCTCAGGGACAGTGCTCAGGCCCTGAGTTCAAGCCCAGGACTGACAAAAAAAAATTATAACCTTATGAGCACTTTTTAATTAGCGAATTAAATGTACTAGAGCTAGACACAACTATCTTCAGAAATCCATTTATATATTTCATAGCTAATCATTCCAACTAACTGGCTGACTTACTATAAAAACATTAAAAGAACTGGGCGCCAATGGCTCATGCCTGTAATGCTAACTACTCAAGGCTGGGCCCTGAGATAGGATCACAGTTTGAAGCCAAACCAGGCAGGAAAAACTGTGAGACTTTTCTCTCCAATAAACTACAGGGGGGGGGGGGGGGGGAGCCACAAGTGGAGCTATTGCTCAAGTGGTAGAGTGCTTGCCTTGAGCAAAAGGTTGACAGCATCCAGGCCCTAGAAAATCTTCAAGCCCCAAGACAAGACCAAATACAATATCCAATATATTTATCTTAAAAAAATCAAATCTTGGGGCTGGGGAGGTGGCTCAGTGGTAGAGTGCTTGCCTTGGATGCATGAGGCCCTGGGTTCGATTCCCCAGCACCACATAAGCTAAAAGAAAAAAGCCAGAAGTGGCGCTGTGGCTCAAGTGGTAGAGCACTAGCCTTGGCTGAAGAGCTGAGGGACAGTGCCCAGGCCCAGAGTTCAGGCCCCACGACCGGACCCCCCCCCCCAAAAAAAAAACAATCTAATCTAATCTAATTCAAATACAACTGAAGTATATTTTAGTTGTTTATCTTTCACTATTTTATCTGGTGCTATAATAATAGAATTGATTTAAAAGTACTTTTAAATTTTGGAAACAACCCAGGTCCAAAAATTGTAGTACCTATATACAATGGAATATTATGCAGTCATTAGAAAGGACAAAATAATGGCATTTGCAAGCAAATGGATGGAACTAGAGCAGATTATTTTGAGCAAAGTAAGCCAAGAACAAAGAGACAAAGGGCACATGGTCTCCCTGATATGTGGATGCCAAAGCCAAAATGCAAGAAGACATGACAAAGTAAACAGCACTCAAGAAACAAAGACAGCCACCCACTTTGTCCTATCATTGATAAATGACTCCATGTTCTTGACCATATATAGGTAGATATATGCACCCAAGGGAAGGAAGCCAGAAGGATGAACAGAATAAGTAGGAAATGGAACAACATACAACAAAGGGGCCCATCAGCTGATGGACATAGAAGAAAAAGAACTAAGCAACCCAAAGACAGCAATGGGAAGGGAGGAATGAGAGGGAAAGAGGGAACAGCCTACACTAAGCAAAAGGAAAGAAATGTAATCATCATCCAATGTGGAAGAAATAATTTGTATTGTCAAAGCTCATAGAATTCACAAACTTTATAGACCATGATAATGACAATATGCCTTGTGAAGGTTAAAATGTGTTTGTGACTTTAACTAAGTGTCACTATTCCACAATACTGTGAAATATGTGAAATTTATGTAATCACCTAATCTCAATTTTAAAAAACAGTGAGAGAAGGGATGGGTTAAGAGCGATGGGTAACAATGTTGTCAGACACTTTGTACTCATATACTGTTTTGTAGAATGGGAACTTCTTTGTACAACTATAATAATATATAATATAATATATAATATATACATAATATATAATAATATAATAATATGTAATATAATAATAACAAAGTACTTTTAATTACAAAAGGCAATAAACTAGTAATGGACATCTGTAGAAAAGACTGGAGTTTATGAAGGACACTGAAAAGAGGAAGATATATTTCACATACATTTTTTAATGTACCTTTAGAAACACAAAACTAATTAAAAATGTTCTTTAATTTCTTTGAGAATTGAGCACACTTTTTTTGGGGGTCTGAACTCTGGGACTGGGTGCTGTCCCTCAGCTCTTCAGCTCAAGGCTAGCACTCTACCACTTGAGCCACAGCGCCACTTCCGGCTTTTTCCTTTTGCTTATGTGGTGCTGAGGAATCGAACCCGGGCCTCAGGCATGCAAGGCAAGCGCTCTACCACTGAGCCACCTTCCCAGCTCTTGAGCACACCTTTATAAATAAGTCCTACATATATTTTTCACTAAAGAAATACGTATCATGGAAAATTGAAAGATAAGAAGTACTTGAGTTCTGTTCCTCTGTTTTCATCATTTTTAGGGCTAAAAATCACTCTGCAGTTGTTTTTGTCTTTTTCTAATACAAACCAAGAGATTAAAAAAAATCTCATGTTTGAACATATTAATTTCTACTTTCCATGAATACTATATTAGGAATTCCTGGAATACATTATCTATACCTAATGTTCTTAAATTTCTCATTTTAATCTGTGTGAATATAGGATTATCTTCTACTTGGGCCAAGACATTGATTTTCAATATTTGCTTATTTGCATCCATTTAATTTGGTGGTGCTAGAGATCAAACTCGGGGCCTTTCACATGTTAGATAAGCATTCTATGCTATATCTTAAGTCCTTTCAACATATAATAAATCCCATAATTCCTCAGTTCCAAAACTATAAATCTACCTCTGGCATGTTATTAAAACACTAGCCATATGATTATTATCAAAGGATAAAAAACCAAATTCCTGATTTCTAGCTTTATGTAGAGTGAGGAAAACTGTGTTTAGATAAAAAAATTTACAAATCCTATCTCATAGTATATACTTTACAAGCTTATCAGAAAATAATCACACAAATTGCTTTACAAATTTATCTGTGTACACATGTGTACACACACACACACATACACACACACACACACACACACACACACACACACACACTCCCCCCAAAACTGCTTTGTTCAGAGTATTTTTTAACAATGCTATTTTCCCCCTTATTCCTCCTAGGCCAAAAGAAATCTCTAACAGTTCTCTTTACTGAATAAAAAGGTCCAAGTAATGCTTCTGTTTTAACAACTTAAATCAATTTGAAATTTTAGTCTATACAAATTAAAAGAAAAAGTAACATTTTCTTCCATTTCTTAATAGCCAATTATTTTCCAGTGGCTACATCAACTGAACAGGTACTTGACAATATTTCAAATCCTAAAATCAACTTAAGACATTCATCATTTTCCATTCCATTTTGCAATGTAAATGCAGAATAGTCTGTACTGAAACCTGACTCTAGGTACTTCACATGGTATTAAACAATGATGAGTGTCCCTTAGTTTCCCTACAAAATTTAAAATATATTATAGCACAATTTGGAAATATCCTAGAGACTTGTTAAAGTTGGGATTTATTGTACTCAGCATTAAATGTTGTTAAAATCAGATGAAACTGGCTCCTACAGTTGATGAGAATCCTTTGAAGACACTTACCTATTTCAACTCTTATGTCCTTCCAATTTGCTAACTAAATTCTAACCATAGCAAGTTATGTAAATTTCCTGCAAAGACCATCTCTCTAGGCTCAGTCACTATCCATGATGTACTTTTGGCCTGTACCACCTCTGTTGGCTTCATTCTCTTTCAATTCCTTCTTGGCCCAGTTAACTTTTACTTTGTTTCAAGGTTCACCACAACTCTTCCCAAGAAAAAAAACTTCCTGCCCCTTATCCTCCCTAAGGATTTGGTTAAATTACTCTCTTGTGTGCTCTGATATTGTGCATCTTGCTTCTCACTTTCTGACGGAAAGAACTTTTAGTCCAGGAAGCTCAAAGGCAAAGTTGTTATTCAATCATATCAACTCTCCTACTAAAATTAGGTATGCACATTAAGTGATTAGCACATATGCTTTCTCTTCCTTTCCATAGACATGAGTTTTTTAGAAACCATGTTTAAATTCCCATCTTTTGCTATAACATGGCTTAAATACCTTTTGGAAAGGAACAAGTAACACATACAATAATTATTCCTTTTCCAAATATTTTAAAAGCAGTAGCAGAAAGTTGAAAAATACAATTCTCTTGGAGCAAATGAAATGAGATGTTTCATGCACCAAATTGATTCAACCCTATAAATATTAGAAAAACAATTAAATGACAAGAGAACCATTACAAGATAATCAAATATTCTTGACTTGAGCAAATTAGTCTCAGAAAATACTTACAAAACTAGTAAAAATCCTTAGTCTTGGTGGATTCTGTTGGAGACAGATGTAACTCTCTACAATATCTATTCCATACAGATTATCAGTTTAACTATTTCATTTATCAGTTCATAACTATTTTCAACTTTATAAAACTTCATGATTTCTCCCAAAGTAGACACTTGCTATCATCCTTTTAAAAAGAAGTCCTCAAACTGGTGTTGGATGTTTATAATTCTAGTACCCCCAGAGGCAGAGACAGGGGTACCCAGATTTCAAAGTTAAACTGAGCTACACATAGTTCATGGTTAAATTAATCTACATAGTGACACTCTGTCTCAAAATACCAAGGACTGGGAAACTAGCTCAGTGGTAAAACACCTGATTACTATGTCAAGTCCCTG